GTCCACCCCAAGTTAAGTCTCTTTGCATCACCGTTTATCGCCCCTGCACCCTCTCTGACCCTCCCCACCTCTTTCCCTCAGGCAGTCACCACACTGCGTCTGTGTCTATGAGGGTTTTGTTTTTGTTTTGATGGATCCCTTCATGGGCACTTAGTTTAGGTCAGGGTTTATTTTAGGGCTCTGCTCTTTCTCCTGCAAGCGTCCCAGCAGCAGCCTAACAGCTTCTCGAGTGATGCCACACCTTTCTTGTTTTCTGGAACGAGGAACCAACTGCCCACGGCCATAGGGCCACTCGGTGCTGGAAACAGGGGCTGTGAAGCTAGGTTTCCTGATTCTAAGTCCAGAGCTTAACCTCCTAGAAAATTCCAGCCCCATCTTGTTCCACGCAGGTCCACATGTCCCACAGCCTGTGCCTCCCGAGCTAGAGAAGATTCCAGACGACTGCCGAGGCACATCTGGGACCCAGGAAAGCCTCCTGCCACGTCTGAGCTGAGCAGCCTGCACACTTCAGGATCCTGTCTCGGCCGAGCAGCCGAGGCAAGCAGCCACGTGGGCCCCTGAGCCACGTGGCCCCTCAGCCACGTGGGCCCCTCAGCCACGTGGGCCCCTCAGCCACGTGGGCCCCTCAGCGCGTGGGACCCTCAGCCGCGTGGGCCCCTGAGCCGCATGGGCCCTCAGCTGCGGTGGAAGCACCATTAGAGCTCTGTCCACTCAGCCAGTGTCCTCAGCAAACCCTGTGCACTGTCGTCCAAGCTGAGAAAAGAGCGGTCAGACTGCCGGTCCCAGAAGGCTCCCCGCCTCTTGGTCCCTGAGCTCTGCTTGGCCCTGGAAACACACTTGGATTTTTCTTGCTGGAGTTCAAGACTCCTCTCCCCTCTTAACATAAACCCCGCAGGCTCATTTAGTTATACGAGGCAGCCAAATTGCACAGAATCGTCTATTCTTCCCCCAGAACAGATTACGAGCCTGGACGGGAGAGATAATTGCTTCCCAGCCACTGAGCAGTCCCTCCCTCCAGACTTTCTACTGAGACTGGAGTCTGAAGTCAAAGCATTAATTATCTAAGAGGCAAAGAGCCTGTGGGTGGCGGGTGTCCGTCCTGAGGGGCTGTTTCAGGTTTGTGCATTCTGTGCTCTGTGATTAGCAAGGGGGGCTCCCCAGGGAAGCAGCGGGGACCCTCTAACTCTGCACACTCAACGTGAGGAGGGAGCGGAGGGGAAGGGAGAACCTGCCAGCCAGCGTCTCACTTGCCAAATGAAATGATGTTATCACCACTCCCTTTTCTGCAAGGCATTTGGGAGTTAATGACAAACCAGTCACAAGTTGTCAAGTTGAAAAGCAAACATCACTTGCCTTCTCTAAACAGAAGGACAAACAAGAACAGCAGAGGCAAGAAAGTCCAAGTGCCTGTCAGGGCCCAGCAGAGCCAGAGCTGGGGGTGCCCTCCCAGGCCTGCGTCTGGACGTTCATTTTCCAAGTGAGCAGGCAGCTCAGGGAGCTGAACCCCAGGCCCACAGTCACCGGCAAATTGTCTTCAGAACCAGGACCCTGACCCAGGCCTCCTGACTCAGCGCCCGGGCGCCTCCTTCGGGGGTGAGGAGCCATCTCTGGGCGCTGCTCTGCTGTGGCTCTAAGAGGGCCCCTCTCATAGGACACCCCTGGATGGGCGACTAGAGGGACAGTTTAACTAGGCCTTCCCCAGGCTCCGTGCCAGTGACGGGCCCTGCTTCCGGGAGTCCCTGGAGATGCCAGTCTCTGAGGCAGGCAGTGGGCCAAAGGGGTTTCGGATAATTACGCCTGCTCACCACAGGCAGTGGGGTGGAGGAAGGCCCAGTAAACGGTCCCCCACCTTCCACTGCCTGTGTGACCCTCTCCCCACTCTTCCACCAGCTGGCTGAGCCCCTCCTCAGTCATGGTAACCAAGCTGGTCCTCAACCTTCCAGAGCTGAGCTTGGCTGTGACCTTGAGATCCCGGCCTCCCCAGGGTGAAAACTGCAGCCTTGAGTCCAGTCCTGCAGCCCTGAGTCCAGCCCTGTGGTTCTGACCTTGTCCCACGGCCCTGAGTGCAGTCCTGAGGCCCTGAGGCCAGTCCTGAGTCCAGTCCTGCAGCCCTGAGTCCAGCCCTGTGGCTCTGACCTTGTCCCATGACCCTGACCTTTTCCTATGGCCCTGAGTGCAGTCCTGAGGCCCTGAGTCCAGTCCTTGTCCTGAGGCCCTGAGTCCAGCCCTGTGGTCCTGACCTTGTCCTATGGCCCTAAGTCCAGCCCTGTGTTCCTGACCTTGTCCCATGGCCCTGGCTCTGGGGCAGGCCGCAGGCCCTCAGTGGCCCAGCACTGTGGTTAAGCACCAATGCTTTGGAGTTAAGACTCCTGGAATCCAAATCCTGGCTCTGCCACTTTCCTGAGGAAACCCCTGATCTCTAGACCTCAGTCCGTCCACCAAAATCACCTACAGATTTGCTCTGAGCATTAAATAAGAGAGAACTGTGGTGCCGCTCAGGGTACGCGCTCAATAAACGGCCGCTGT